TTCCTTCCTTCCTTCCTTCCTTCCTTCCTTCCTTCCTTCCTTCCTTCTTTCTTTCTTTCTTTCTTTCTTTCTTTCTTTCTTTCTTTCTTTCTTTCTTTCTTTCTTTCTTTTTCTTCCTCCCTCCCTCCCTCCCTTCCTCTCTCTCTTTCTCTCTTTCTGCCCCCATCTCTTTCTCTTCGTATCAAATCTGGTTGAAACTTATGGGAACTTCAATGACATTTTGAAGAACAGGTGTTCAGTTTTTATTTATATTCTAGCCAATGTTTAGAAAATAAGGTACATTTCTTTAATGTTACTTAATTTCAAAACCTATTTGTCTGATTGCCAAAAATGATGACTGATACAATTTAAACCAATAATACAATCAATGAGGAAGAGTGAGCAATAAATAGAAAATGCTGATGTTTGTTCAGAATTATCTTGGAGATATCAGAACTGTCATTCTCCAAATATTTGTGCTGACAAAAATCTGTTCATGTGAATTTAAGCAAACAGCAAGTAAAACTGGTATAATTAGGTAGCTGAAGTGAAAAGTCCTTGGAAAACATTATTTGGCCACAATGCTTTCAAAGCTTCAAACTTTTTAACTTGAGTTTTGCCATCTCTCTAAATCAATAAGAAATTGCCTCATGTACTTTAAATCTCCCACAAGTCAAAAATACATCTTACTACATTTACTCAAAGGAAAGTTAACATACTAATTTCTATCACCATCCCCTATGTAAGCCACATTTATTTTTAAGAGCTGTCTAAGAAATTGCAGAGTAAAAATATTGATAAGCTTGCAGAAGATTAAATAGATTCATTGGATTCTATTTTTGGTCTGAAAAAGGACATTCAAGGTGACTTATAAATTTGAAATTCATTCTGCAAAACAAATGAATAAAGCCTACATTATTTCAAGAAGACTGTCACACCAAAGAAAGTTCCTTCTTCAGTTCCAAAGGATTGGATACTAGACTGCCAATTTAGCATTTTACTAGACTGATTACTAGACTGATGCTGTACTCTCTAATAAATAGGGAGTGCAACAATGAATGGTCCATTGCTCTATAATTTTTATAGAGCATAAAAAAGAGGTTTAAAGTTAGTAGAGTCACTGGCAATGATAATCAATAGCTACTGGTTTTATGAACACCTTCAATTTTGCTGAAAGTTATTGGAATCAGCATGTTGCATCAAATAAAGCCTTGGTTAGATCTCACAGGACTGAGAATGAGTCTTGTGATGAAACACTGCACTTACTATTTACTATTCCCTCATTTGCTTAATTTATATCAAGAATGGCTTCAACCATGGTTTTAGATTCCTTTTATATTTTCTATGTTTCTTGCCTCTAAACTGACAAGCCTGAGCAGCATGTCAACAGGGCCGGGTATGCAGGATCGGCTTCCATGCTTCACTGAAATGAAGAAAAAAGTCTTCTGCCCACCTGTGTGCCTCAGATCCTTAATATAGCTGGAACAGCATTGTGTCATCTACTGACAATACAGCAAGCCCTATGTATTCATCAGAAAACTACACCAATAACTTTCATAAGCATATTCCAGCCTCTTTTGGGTAAACCTGTCCCCTTTTCAGTAAATATGAAAATATAAAAGTAATCTGTAACATGTTTCTTTTCAAGCAAAATAATATGATCCATTAAAAGAAACTGTTATATGAACAAGTAGTAAACCCTGGACTCCTGTGACATCTTTTTAAAGACTTATTTGCTGAAATTATCCATCATGTATGTATGTATGTATGTATGTATGTATGTATGTATGTATGTATG